CCGTTTATTCCCTCTTTTATTGTTCTGATGCTGTTGTCATTTACAGATTAACCTCTCTGCTTCCCTGTTGTAATTCTTTTGGTTTTGCATAGTCCTTAAGAGTTCATTTCCTAGGTTGGTATCTGGCTATGTACTCACTATTTTTGATGACACCATGTTATTTCAGTGTATGGAATGTACCATGATGTATTTATTTTTAAATTGTGAGATATTTTACTCATGCAAAAATATACAAAGAAAAATTACTGTATTTAACTTCTACCATCTTAGGAATTCCTTTTCCTGGAGATATAGAATAATTTCAGTAACTAATACTTGAATCCCACTTTACCGTTTATAGTGTACTTGCATGTACATTATTTAATTTGATCCTCACTACCACCCTTTAAGTTGGATACCTTGATTATTATTTTCCTCATTATATAGATGAACTAGATAAAACTCAGAGAGGCTAAATGATTTATCCTGTACCCTAAGTCCAAACCTAAAGAAAATGAAACCCATTGCCGTCAAGTTCATTCTGACTCATAGCAACCCTGTAGGACAGAGTAGAATGGCCCCATAGGGTTTCCAAGGCTGTAAATCTTTATGGAAGCAGACTGCCACATCTTTCTCCAGTGGAGTGGCTAGTGGATTCAAATTGCTGACCTTTTGGTTAGCAGCCGAGTGCTTAACCACTGCGCCATCAGGGCTCCACCCAAAGTCCAGTTAATGTCAAACTGAAGGCTGGGCCCAGGGACCAGACATGGCTCCTGTGACTAGGCAGACCTCCAGAGCAGGATGTGGAAGAAGTCAGGACCAACAGAGCAGCCTCAGCACTCCCCCTACCCCACCTTGCTGCCCACATCAGCATTTATTACATGTGCTTACATTTTTTTGTTTCATGACTATCTCCCTTAATGACCCAGTGGGCTCTTTGAGGCCAGATACTACTGTCTTCATTTCTCCCTCTAACCCTATGCTGCCCACCACAAGGCCTGTTGTCATTGTTAGTTGCCATTGATTCCAACTCATGGCAACCCATGTGTGCAGAGTGGAACTGCATTTTATAGGAGTTTCAAGTTGTGACCTTTCAGAAGCAGATAGTCAGGACTGCCTTCCCAGGTGCCTCTGGGTGGGTTCAAACCACCACCCTTTTGGCTGGTAGTCCAGTTCTTAACCATTTGTGCCACCCTACAAGACCTAGTACGCAATGAGCACACAGTTAATGTTTGGTGAGTGAATGAGTGAATGAATGAGGCTAGATTTTGATTGTTTTCTTTCCTGTTGTTGTTGTGTGCCATCAAGTCAATTCAGACTCATAGTGACCCTACAGGACAGAGTATAACTGCCCTATCAGGTTTCCTAGGCTGTGATCTTTTCCCTGTGGTGCCACTAGTGGGTTCCAACTGCTGACCTTTCGGTTAGCAGCTGAGTGCTTAACCATTGTGCCACCAGGGCTCTTTAGTTTTCTTCCTACATACCTCTATTTTCAGTTCAGACATTTTAACAAGAACCCATCTTGATACTGTAAGTGTACTTCTGCAGGTTTTGGTCACCACTGCAAAGCTCACAGGTTGATGCTTGCGTGGAAAAGCATGCTCGAGACCAAGGGCAAGGAGAAATGTATTTGCAGACTGGATTTCCTCCACCGTTTCCAGTTCCAGCCCCGACTGGGATGTCTTAGTCATCTAGTGCTGCTCTAACAGAAATACCACAAGTGGATGGCTTTAACAAAGAGAAGTTTATTCTCTCACAGTCCAGTAGGCTACAAGTCCAAATTCAGGGTGTCAGCTCCAGGGGAGTGCTTTCTCCATTGCCTCTGGAGGAAAGTCCGTGTCGTCAGTCTTCCCTTGGTCTAGGAGCTTCTCTGCACAGGAACCTCAGGTCCAAAGGACACACTCTGCTCCCGGCACTGCTTTCTTGGTGATATGAGGTTCCCATGTGTCTCTGCTCACTTCTCTCTTTTATATCTCAAAAGAGATTGGCTTAAGACACTATCCAATCTTGTAAACCTCATCAGTATAATTGCCACTAATCCATCTTGTTAGATCATAGTGATTGAGTTTACAACACATAAGGAAATCACAGCAGATTACAGAATGGTACACAATCATACAACACTGGGAATCATGATGTAGCCAAGCTGACAGATATTTTTGGGGGACGCAATTCAATCCATGACATGGGATGAACTAGATTTGCCTTAAAGCTGCCTTCCGAGTTACATTTATGATATCCATCATCTGAAATTACTTTGTATTTATGATATATCTTATTTTGAACTGCTTCTGAAAACAATAGCTCAGCTTAGCAGCTATAGCATAGTTTATCGGGATTGTTTAAAGTGCTGTTATTGTTGACTGTAAAAACAGTATCGTAGAATTAAAAGAAATTTTAAAACCAAGACCATTCGGACCCCATCACCTAACAAGGCAGCCATTTTCTATTTCTGCATACTTCCCTCAAGGCCATGTCCGTGTACACACATTGATTTTCATGTTGTTGTCACAGGGAGCGCACAATGTTTGTTTTCTGCTATTTCCAGTTAACATTTTTTTCCATTTTTCGGCATAGACTTCATAATTACATTTTTAATGACTACATAATCCTCTGTTGAGTTGATGTACCAGAATTTACTGATACAGTCCCCCGGTGTTTGGCATTTAGATTTTCCACTAATCTGTGCCCCTGCGGTGGAGATTGTTACACATATAGCTGTGTGTCTGCTGACAATTGCTCAGGAAGCATTCCCGTGTGGAGGACTGCAGGTCAGAGTCTTGACCACGTTTGTGCTTCCTGCCCTGCTCCTCCTGGACAAGTTGTCCCAGTTTATGTCCCCAGCAGCCTGTGTGTTTACCTCCTCATACAGGGTGTCGTTTGAATTTGTTGTTTGCTAATTTAGTAGAAGTACAGTGGTACTTCGGGGTTGCTTTATTTTCCATTTCTTTGATTATTAAAAGGGATTAGCATTTTCCCTTGTAGCTCTGCTGCGTATTTCCTTGGATGTGAGTTGTCTGCTTCCACTTCCACTTCTTCGCCTGTATTTCAGTCACTTGGGGTCTTGATTGCTTTAAATCAAATCGGATGAGATCTTTCCATACAATAGCTATTGAACTTTTTCATCTGTGTTTCATATATTTCCCAATGTTGTGTTTGCCTTTTAATTTTAGGTATGTATTTGTAACAGGAAGATTTTTATTTCTGTAAGCAAATCTGTCAGTGTTTTTTTCTGTTGCTTCAAGGCGTAGGAAGCTATCCCCCCTCTGCAGAGCTGATAAATATTTAATTCTACCTTCTGTTATTTTAAATTCTTTAATTCATCTGAGTAGTATTCTAGTATAAACTGAGTTGCAAATTAAAATGTGCTTCTAGTCAGTTACTCAGACCTTTTCCTGCTCTTTTATTCTCTTCTGCAGGAATAATCCACCAGATGAAGGGTGATTATGACACTGCACTGAAGCTGCACAAGACCCACCTGTGCATCGCCCAGGAGCTGAGTGATTACGCTGCCCAGGGCCGAGCCTATGGGAACATGGGCAATGCCTACAACGCTCTGGGCTTGTATGACCAGGCAGTCAAGTACCACCGGCAGGAGCTGCAGATCTCCATGGAAGTGAACGACCGCGCCTCGCAGGCCTCCACACACGGCAACCTTGCTGTGGCCTACCAGGCCCTGGGTGCCCACGACCGGGCCCTGCAGCACTACCAGAACCACCTGAACATCGCCCGCGAGCTGCGGGACATCCAGAGCGAGGCCCGGGCCCTCAGCAACCTAGGCAACTTCCACTGTTCTCGGGGAGAGTATGTCCAGGCCGCCCCCTATTATGAACAGTACCTCCGGCTTGCTCCCGACCTCCAGGACATGGAAGGAGAAGGGAAGGTCTGCCACAATCTCGGCTATGCCCACTACTGCCTTGGGAACTACCAGGAGGCAGTGAAATACTATGAGCAGGATCTGGCACTGGCCAAAGACCTTCACGACAAATTGAGCCAAGCAAAAGCCTACTGCAACTTGGGCCTAGCGTTCAAGGCTCTGCTGAATTTCAGCAAAGCTGAGGAGTGTCAGAAATACCTACTGTCCCTAGCCCAATCCCTGAATAATTCCCAGGCAAAATTTCGAGCCCTAGGGAACCTGGGTGATATATTCATCTGTAAAAAAGATATCAATGGTGCAATAAAATTCTATGAGCAGCAGCTGGGCTTAGCTCACCACGTGAAGGACAGGAGACTAGAGGCCAGTGCATATGCAGCCCTGGGCACTGCATACCGAATGGTCCAGAAATATGACAAGGCCTTGGGCTATCACACACAAGAACTGGAGGTCTATCAGGAGCTGAGTGACTTGCCGGGGGAGTGCAGAGCTCATGGGCACCTGGCTGCTGTCTACATGGCCCTGGGGAAGTACACAATGGCCTTTAAGTGTTATGAAGAACAGCTGGATCTAGGGCAGAAGTTGAAGGATCCAAGTCTAGAAGCCCAGGTCTATGGTAACATGGGCATCACAAAGATGAACATGAATGTGATGGAAGAAGCCATCGGCTACTTCGAGCAGCAGTTGGCCATGCTGCAACAGCTCAGTGGAAATGAGTCTGTGCTGGACAGGGGCCGGGCCTACGGCAACCTGGGGGATTGCTATGAGGCCCTGGGGGACTACGAGGAAGCTATCAAATACTATGAACAATATTTATCTGTTGCCCAGAGCCTGAATCGCATGCAAGATCAAGCCAAGGCTTACCGGGGCCTAGGAAATGGACACAGGTAAAATTGACAGAGGACAAATGTGGTTGAAAACCCTGCAAAAAGAGCAGTTGTGACAGTAAGGGCAGCTTTGTGTCTGCATGACAGTTTATTGACTACAAAGCATTTTCATACACATCATCTCATTTGAGTCTTCCAACAGTTCTGTGAATTAAGCAGGTAGTATTACTACCCTTAGGTTATAGAGGAAGAAACTGAGGCCCAGAGAGGTTGGGTTAATGCCCAAGATGACACAGCTTAACAGGGGCAGTTGAGAGTCAAACCCAGGGCTCTCTGACTCCAAACCTAATGGTTTTTGACTGCATCATAATGAGCAGGATAAAAGAGATGGTAGGAATGGGAAAGGTGTGTAAATCAATTGAACTGATCTTTTCTGAATGCTTCCACAATACATGAATTTGTTTATTAATACAACGTCTGCACCCACCAATTACTGGGACACCATTGTGTGCCTTTAGGAAAAGCCATCTGATAATGTGGGGCATGAATAAGCACGTACCTTGCACCATGCATCATGCTGGGCACCTTGCATAGACATCTTACGCGGTATTTATAGTGCTCCTGTATAATCATGCATCCACTATTATCTGCTATCGGTGTGGGATTTATCATCCAGGAATTGAGGCTTGGGGAAAGGCATTCATGTGCACCACACACTAGTTTGGTCTGCCGCCAAAATCCATGCTCTTCCCACTCTTTATCATGTCACCTCTTAGCACAGAAAGACATACTGTTAGCCAAGGTGATGCTTTTCTCCTGAATGCAGGGAACCCAAGAAGGTGTCTCTCTGCCCCTGTGTGTCTGCAGGATATATGGCCTCTCCAGACAGGAAGGGGATGAGGGCTCCAGGAGTGGAGGCAGGGCAAGGGGCAAACTAAATCATCACCCACAGAGTGCTTGGAGAAGCATGGGGTGAAAGATTTACAGTCATTGTAAAGTGATTTCAAAAAAATCGTCTAAGTGGTAGTGGAAATTGGGAGGCCCGAAGAACCAAACAGCTCACTTGCTATCATTGTGCCTATTAATATATTTTATGTTTCCTCTGGGGTGTAGATCCCATTGACTCTCAGGCTCTTGGGAAGGTCACTAACGGATGCTTTTTGAATTGCTTCCCAGATTATGAAATTCCCCTGCATCTCACTCTAAGGGCACATGATAGATTTTAGCTAGAAGAGGAGTTAAGAGCTTCTATAGTAAGTGACAGTGACAAATGCTTTTCATTTTCTCAGGGGTTTTAGCATGTCTGCACCTGCATGAAATAATATCATTGCTTCTCTGTCTACGTCCCCACAGGGCGATGGGGAGCTTGCAGCAAGCCCTTGTGTGCTTTGAAAAGAGGCTTGTGGTTGCCCATGAGCTTGGGGAGGCCTTCAATAAAGCCCAGGCCTACGGAGAGCTGGGCAGTCTGCACAGCCAATTAGGGAATTACGAACAAGCCATTTCCTGCCTGGAACGCCAGCTGAACATTGCCAGAGAGATGAAAGACCGAGCCCTGGAGAGTGATGCGGCCTGTGGCCTGGGGGGCGTTTACCAGCAGATGGGGGAGTATGACTCAGCCCTCCAGTACCACCAGCTTGACCTGCAGATAGCAGAGGAAACCAACAACCCCACATGCCAGGGCCGAGCCTATGGGAACCTGGGCCTGACGTATGAATCGCTGGGGACCTTTGAGAGGGCTGTGGTCTATCAAGAGCAGCACCTGAGCATCGCTGCCCAAATGAATGACTTGGTGGCTAAGACGGTATCATACAGCAGCCTTGGGAGGACCCATCATGCCTTGCAGAACTATTCACAGGCAGTCATGTACTTACAGGAAGGTAGGTCAAAACGCCTCTTGTGGGCCCTCGGTCTACCCAAAATCGAGTTCAGGTCCACTCAGAAGGAAGCATGCAAGTTTGAGTTGGACTGAGGAGTATCTCTAAGAGCACACTGGCAGTTGAACTCCAGAACCATGGTGCCCCCACCATAGCTAGTGCTATGGTGTTTCGTTGTCCAGAATGCCTTACCTTGCTCTCTCTGACCCAGGCTGGCTTACTGTCTCTGTGATAGTGTCTACTGCTAGCCAGCTGCACAAGAAGCTGATACCTTCCTTGTTTCTCCCCGCCCTCTGCTGGGTAAACAATACATTCTCACACAGATGAATCAAGGAAGAACTAATCATGTAAGATTCAGGGCCCAAATCAGAGGAAAATGAAATCTGCTCCAAGCCCAGTTAGCCCTCTAGAAGATATCTAAATTATCAGAACTATATAAAAAGCCATTCTGATAGGGTAGTAGAGGTCTGATCCAGAGGCCTCAGTCTAAGTAGTAGAGCTGGCTCCCTCCCCAGGGTTGATCGCCCAAAGTGCTTGGGTTGGTGCCACGGTGAAGTCTTGTTCCAGGCTGACCCAGGAGCTGGCTGCTCCTCTGCCATGCAGTTACCTGGGGGCAGGTAGTCCTTTGAAGTTTCCTTCCCCGGAAGCAGAAGTCCCACAGCAATGCATTCATCCTCCACCTCTTTATGTTGTGTGGGGCCTTTTGCTCCTGAAAGCACTTCTACTCAGACATGCCCATTGGATCCTCCACACTGGAAGGGAAGAATGGAGAGAGAGGCTGACTGTCAGCTCACCCGTGAGAGGAAATGGGGCTGATTCAGGCAAAAACTCTCATTTATAGTTTCCAAGGAACTTTGCAAATAGAATTGATTTAATCTTAAATTCTCACAATAACCTTGAGAGGTGTATCTTTTTGCCCATTTTGCAGTTCAGTCAACTGAGGCTCAAAGAAGTACAGTGATTTGTCTGGGGCCACGCAGTCAGTCAGTGGCTGAGTGGGGCTCAGTCTGGGCTCTCTGACCCCAGGAACCATGCAGGGCCCTAACCTCAAAAGAACAGAGCAAGGTCGGGGCAATTATATCCTTTACTACTCCTTGTGCCTCAAGTGGGAAGCGGGGGACATAGGAGCAGGAAGCAAGGTGGAGAGTGGGCGAGGAGCTGATGGGTCAGTGTTTCCTTTGCACAAACCAGGAATGACTGGCCTGTAGGTTGAGATGTTACTGAGAGGCCAGAAGCCACTTCCCAGACCTCATCTGGCTTCTCCTCTCCCTGGGCTGGGCTCTACCTCAGTGCATCAGACATGAGTATTGGCTTTCAGTTTCCTGAAATTTGACTGGTAAAATTCCAACAGACTAAGGGTGATTTTCAGTTGAATTGGTGAAAACTATTAAACTCAGGCCCAGCACAGGACAACCTCTCAGCTGTGTTCTTTTGCAGTTCCTGCAATACTGTTTCCAGGAAATAGCTGCTTTGCTTGAGACATTGTAACATAGTTCTATACTTATTGAAAACTCTGGAGTTCGTTTTTATTGTTTCTTGTTCTTTGAAGTTTTGCAGTGATCTAAAATCTGATTTGTAGTGTCTCTCTCCACCGGCCTGTTTTGTGAATAGGCTCCACCAGAGAGAGTGCGGCAGATGCCTTCTCTCATGCCTTCTCTCGTGGGCCATGCCCGCTTCCTCTTCTCAGGAGCCTGGAGCAGGACACCTGGCAGGCCCCTTTCAGTGCTCTGAGTTGGGTCTGCAGTCACTTGCAATGACAGAACGGTTCAGTCAGAAGCCACCCAGTGCTGTCTCTCCTGGCTTTCAGATGGGCCTACATATCAGCATGGGCCCTGCCCCTGTAACACAGAGTCCTGCAGAGCCTCATGGGTGGTACCCAGTCTGAGTCTTTAGAACAGGTGTTCCAGGTGATTCAGATGGGCACCCCTGGTTAGAACTACCTGTGTTATTCAGCTTTCTCTCTTTTTTTCTAATGAAGAGAGGAGACCATGGGTGGCACAAATAGTTAAGCACTCAACTGCTAGTCGAAAGGTTGTTCGACTAGGCACCCAGAGGTGCCTCGGAAGAAAGGCCTGGTGATCTGCTTCTGATAGGTCACAGCCTTGAAAACCCTATGAAGCACAGTTCTACTCTGCACACATGGGGTTGCCAGGAGTCAGAATCAACTCCATGGCAACTAACAACAACAACATGCAACCAGTTACTGGCAAACCAGGCTCCAGAAGAGCTGGTTAGGTGGATCAGATTCCTAAGAGGTGGAAGTGGATAGAAGCTAGGGCAGGGCAGATGCCATGTCTGTTCAGTGGGCTTTTAACTGTTCACTGTTGAACCTCTGACTTGGCCGGGGAGTGTCCTGGGTGTGAGGAGACAGGAAGCAAAGCAAAGTCTCTGCTCACGCAGAGCAGACATCCCAAGGGGGCTCCCCTCACCAGGTTTTCTTCCTAATCCACTTACCCCAAATAGCAGGGTCGTCTGTTTTGGAGAATTAATGTGGTTACCTTGTTGAAGGTTAAAACAACCAGTATCCTCCTGGGTTTTCCCCCAAGAACCATTTTCTTTCATTTGTGTTCCTTTTCTGTGAGGTATTTAAAAATATAAATAATTTGCAAGTATTATTTTTGTTACTCAGTGACATGATTTAAAATTAAAATGCTATTTCTAAGTTTTCTGAGTTATATACATTTTTAAAAGCATATTTCATGAGCTTGGACCTGAGTATTGCTTTTATTATGCTCTCTACTGACTCAGTTCCTTTTCCAGAGTCTGAAACTACACAGGCCCAGCATGCTCAGAGGCAGGGTCCCGTCCACCGTGAATGAGATTAGAAGAAGGAGGCCCTTTCTTTGTGTGTTCAGTTGTGCGTAGGAACACACATGCTGTCTTTCTGCACAAGCTTCCTTCTATGAGCAGAGAGAAAGATAATGAAGGGGAGGTGATGCTGAGAATGTCTTAGTGCCCAGTGCAATAAGTGGTTGCCCTCAGATTTGGCTCCCGCAAAACCCTGGAGGTTGCTAGTGTTGCAAAATCCAGAAGCTTGCTGTGGGTAAGTGACCCAAACGGCAGGTGCCTATCTGAAGGCCATTAGAATGAGGACAGACTCATGTAAGGCTTTCGACTCATAATAGCACTTGCTTTGCAACCCACAGAGGCACATCAAAGCCTCTGACTTAAAGGAAAAGCAGATTGGACAGGAGCTGCATCAGTAGCCTCCCTGCAAAGGCAGGGTCAGGCGGTGCGAGTGTTCTGCTTTCCGGAGGAGAGCGTGTGTGCCCTCCACCAACACTGACTGGCTGCTGTGCACATGTGATGAGGAAAGAAAATACAGTTAAACCTGTGAGAGCTGAAACTTGATGGGACTGCCTTATTTTTCTGGGTCTCGAAAGTTTTCTGCCTTTGACAAGGTACAGTCTTACCACTTTTCTATCGCTCATTTTAGTGGAAAGTATTTGAGTTTTCCTTTTCTGACAGGTTTCTGCCTTATACAGATTCTGGCTTTTGCAGGTTTTATTGTATTATCTTGGCTTCTGCACTGTGGAACTGTCAGGAAATGATTTTACCAGCCAGAGAATCAGGTTTGATAAATTTATAGGCCAGGAGTATTCATTTGCAAAGCTAAGTGTTTCCCAACAGAGAGGGTGGCCAGGTCAGGTTCCATTTGTTTCCGAGTTTTTGCCTGCCCTGCAAACCTGTCTCCTGCTGATAGCTATCTCTGAGCTCTTGCTGGGGTGTCTTAGAGTGGCCTGGAAAGGTTGCTGCCAACACAGAAATTGAAGAGAATGCTTTCTCTGCCTGGCTGACTCAGCTCTTGTCCTGCATTTTATCTGGCTGTGTTGTGAACATTCTTTACATCTACCTGAAGCAGAATGACCCTGCAGGCCTCCTTGGCATGGTGGAATGTCTGTCTTCTGTGTTTCCTCAAAATTTCTCTGTCTGGTTTCAGGTCTAAGGCTAGCTGAGCAACTGGGCCGAAGAGAAGATGAGGCCAAAATCCGCCATGGGCTTGGCCTCTCTCTTTGGGCTAGTGGAAATCTGGAGGAGGCCCAGCATCAGGTGAGCAGGAGAACCCCTGACCCAAATGGATGTTGTTTCCAGAAACAGGGAAGAACTTGGGATTACTGTCCTAGTGGTGATGACATTTGTCAGAGGGTGCCACCCTCCACCCTTGGGCTGATGTACAGGATTTCCAGCCAGTGCCAGCCCAGAAGTGCTAAACCTAAGTAAAGATTCTTGCTTACTCGTGTAATAGATTTCTCAAAAATTTCTTTGGAATTCTTGTGTTATGAGCCACTGTTGCTCATTAAACCTTAATATGAAGTAACATGCATTTTATGATGGAAGCAATCCAAGAATTCATAATTATTGCATTTAATGTTCTTATAGATTTCTAGTTATATCAATAGACATAGCTCCCCCATTTCATTCTCTTTCTCTCCCCGCCTTCCTACCTCCTTCTCTAGTTTTCTTTCTCAGTAAGTTCATCTTCCTGCATGTGTACAAATAGTTGAAGTCCATTAGCATGCTAGTTCTGGAGATAAGAAGGGTACCTGGAGTTACAGGCTTGCTCTGTTAGGGTGGAGGAGTTCTGAGGTGGCTACATCTAAAATTACATACTCATCCATTTAGCCAGTGTGTGAGTAATTGCTGCAGAGGACATTGTGCTAGGCAAAGGGGGAACAAGGAGAAGTAAATCAAGGCTCCTCTCCTGGCTCACAAGACTTTAGGATGTAATATGACTGAATTCGTGCCATAGCATGCTGGAAAGTTATAGTATCTTACTGTACTTTTTAAGCCATTAGAGGCAATTTGAGAAATTAACCCTCTAATGTAGAATGCTAACCATGCCCTTTTTAGAGATGAAGAAACTAAAGCTCTGAGTCTTGCCAAAAGTCACACAGCAGATTAGTGGCAGAGTTAGGGATAGATTCCTCGATCTTAATCTAAGTCTCTTAGTCTTAGAATTCTTTTTTTTTTTTTTTTAATTTGCATAAGCTTAGAATTGGACACTGTGCTTTCCAGCATAGAAGTCTCAATCAGAACAGTCTGGTGGGCTCACTGATGGAGAAGCCAGTCAGCGCAGCAGGGCAGTGTCACCATCAGGAATGTCAAGCGTCCAGTCCTGAGGGTACCTGTGGACGTGGTGTTGTGGTTTCTAGTGTGGCCAGGGCTCCTGTGAAACTTTTTCAGTGAAGAGCTGAGCACTGCGGTGGAGGGCTACGTCTGATTTGGCTCCACAGCACTGCGCTGCCTGTGACGAAGAGCTTCCTCTCCTGAGAGCAGCTTCCCGTCTCCTTTCCCCCAGCCTCACCCATTTCCAAGTGCCTCCGCCACACCAGGTCCAACTCTAATCCTCAGGTGTAGTGAGATCTGGACTGGTAAACAATGGTCATTTGATGGCTTTTTTGTTCTAGTCAAAGTTAGCACTTGGTTGGATTAATAGCTTAAATTTTTACTTAAATCCATCTTTCAAGCCGTAAGTCTATAACCTCTGTCTTTTAGATACCCCTATCTGTCAAAAACTGACTACATAAACTATAATTTGCAGAGTATGATCTTTTCAGATCCACAAGGACCCACCTGGAAATAAAGATTAATCTTTTCAAACCTTTGTAAACAGTCTTTAGGTTGTGCATCAAGATGTGAGCAAAAGTTGTGTCTAGTCTGTAAGCAACTGGACATAGGTTTATGGATAATGGGTGGCCTTCTTTGTCCCCTGCTTGCAGCTCTACAGGGCATCGGCCTTGTTTGAAACAATCCGGCACGAGGCGCAGCTGAGCACAGACTACAAACTCTCCCTCTTCGACCTGCAGACATCCTCCTACCAGGCCTTGCAGCGGGTGCTGGTCAGCCTTGGTGAGAGCAACTGGGGTTCTGGTTTGTGTGTACATGTGCACCTCGGTGTGTAAGTTGCTCAGTGGTTGCTGTGATGAGATAGGACTCATTACAACAGACTGGGAAGCCACAACCACAATCCAGTCATTGAAAATTTGTTCATTTGTTCAACAAATATCTCCAGAGCACCTACTGTGTGCTGAACACTGACCCTGGGGATTTGAAGTCAGGAAGACCTGGCTCCTGACCTCAGGAAGCTCTGAGCCTATGGAGAGACATAGATCAATGAGTCTAGAACAGCATGATTGGTGCTAGGGTAGAGTAAGCTCAGATGCTGTGGAAGCAAAACGGCTCAGCAGGCAGACCCAGGAGGCAGAGGAGGTGAGCCGGAGACAGGGGTGCTTAAGCCAGGTGTTAGTAGGGAGAGGGAAGCAAGCAGGAGACCATCAGCTCTCCCTGACTAAGGGGGAATACCCGAGAAGACGCCTGGCCTCTTCTCTATTTCCTCAGCTGCACATCTGCCCATGCTGCTGTCTAGTAAATGTGTTTGCTAGCCAGTCCGCCCCCTGGGTTGGGACATCGTCTGTGATAACCCTTCCAGGCCTGTGTGATGGCGGCTCTGTGTGTGCTCCATTGCACCGGCGCAGCGTGCCGTCTTCCCTCACCTGGGCCTCCACTCTCACAGCCACCCCCTTGCAGCTCCCCATCCTACTCCTCTTCCCGGGCCTACCCGTCTCTCCAGGCCATTGTCCCCAACCCAGAGCCTGGCTTGAGGAGGCACTCATTGTAACTAACAATGTCTTTGAAGGTGCATGGTGAGGCCTATTCAATAACCTGTCTTTTGCCGTATGTACGTGAATATTCCAGCTTCCCCTTGAAAAATGTATCTATTAAATGTGTTCATTGCCTGATATTACAATTTATTATCTATTATAATCACAGTGTTAAGTCTGTCTAGCACTTTGGGGCCAATTTTCTAATGTGCATAGAGATGGTCCCTGCTGTTTCAGTTAATAACTTAATAGTGTAAAAGGAGACATTTGCATACACACATAGAAATCCTCACTTTCTCCTGAAACCCGAGCTGCAGGGAAGCCAGGCACCCTTGAAGTGCTGGTGGAGCTGCAGCATCCCACCCCTGCCTCTGCCCCCACCGCCCCAAATTTGACCCCAGTTCTAGCACCTCTTCCGTATTTCTATTTATGACACAAGCAAACGGATTAACCTTCTGCATTGCATTCCTTCGGCACTTACATGCAATCCTGACTTTAAACCCAGTGGTTTTGTATTTTTTGTGCTTTTATATTTGTGCATCAGCTTCTAAACTAGATTCCTGACGTGTGTCTTAGGGGAAGTGGGATTTGAAATTGAATTGAAAGGCTGAGGCCAAGCTTGCCAGTCAGTGAAAGGGGAAATGGCCCACCAGCGGCAGGCCAGCGTGTGTATAAACACACAGAGGTGTGGGTGGGGGAAATGTGGAGAGGGTGGGCTGGAGAGTGTGGCACACGGAGGGGCTGCATTGCAGAGGGACTGAAAAGATGGCCAGGAGACACATCATGTAGCTCCCACCTGTCCATGCTGAGAATCCAAGTAGAGCAGGGGAGTGAGGTAACGAGAGAAGTAGTGCAAAGTGTCAGGCCCTACGAGCCAAGGGAAAGGGGTTATGAGGGTCAGAGGCCAGGTCAGGGAGCAGCCCAGGATGGGGAATAGAGACAGGTTCAGGAGGAGGGCTCTAAACCAAGTCATCTCTCTCGTGGTGCTGGCTGTAGACAAGAGGAGTGCCCGATGGCTCAGGTGGGCATGGAGTCCGTCCTGTTGGATCTGAAAATGTGGGTTTTGTAAGACTGCACACTGCACCCTCATCCGAGACAGGTTGTTGAATATTAAACAGAGGGACTGGGACATGTCACACTTAGGAGTGTGGCAGCAGTGAGGTTTCTCTCATGATCTCTGTACCTGCTGTCCTCTGTCCTGAGTTGGCACACTCACGTGGCCTTCGGTCTATCCCTGTGTCTCCTAGGCCATCACGATGAAGCCCTGGCCGTGGCAGAGAGAGGAAGGACAAGGGCATTTGCTGACCTTCTGGTGGAGCGACAAACAGGACAACAGGACTCTGACCCCTACTCCCCGGTCACCATTGATCAAATCTTAGAGATGGTTAATGGCCAGAGGGGCCTAGTGCTGTACTACTCCCTGGCCGCAGGCTACCTGTACAGCTGGCTGCTTGCTCCTGGGGCAGGTGAGATCTCCGTCTGTGGGAACAGGGCAATTAAGACACCAGACCTGTGAACTGCTAATGAATAGAGGTGGAAGAGGTTCATTATCATAGATCAGACAAAGGAGCTGACACTGGCTTCCACAACACCTCAGCCACGGTGGATGTTCCATAGTGGGGAATTCAATTAATAAGGTAGCCCAGCTTTCTCAGTCCCTCAAGAAATCTCTGCGCCTCACTGGTGAGTGTGGAAGCATTTATCAAGTAGGACTAAGAGCAGGAGGATTAATTTCACTAGCAGCCCTATTTGTAGGCAGCTGTTGTACATTAACTAATAAAGTGACGACGGCAAGCCCTAAAGAGTTCTTTCTGGGTATGATTTCATAATCGTGATCCTTGTCATGGTAAAGTTAAAGAGACTAAAATGATAATAGCCATTCTATCAGTATTTAAATGAAGTCTTATGCTTGAAATTTCTGGCTTTAGCAGAACCCATTTTTAACCAGTTCTGTTATAAATCTAGTTTAGATGTAAAAATCCACTTCGATTACTTTGGCATTAAATGTTCAGGCTGTAACATTTCACTAAATTCAGACCCACTAATTAGCTGTGAGGGCCATATTTTTTGCATAATAAAATGCTGATGGCTTTGCCATGTTTGGAGACACACCAGCTCCAATTACAGTTTATTGACTGAATAAGGAAGTGGATCTGATAATTGGGAATCTTGAAGAACGGGCTTCTTGACTATCTGTAAGCCAATTGTACAAAGTTCAACTGCCAGAGAGAATTGACAAGATTTTCTTGATTATGTTTCTGTCCCTTTCATTTAAAAAGAAAAAAAGTGACAGCTGGTTGACGGCTCCCAGATGCTTCTTAGGTTCTGAGCACTCACAGCTCTACATTCTCTGCCTCCGACTTATTTGTTATAATCATTTCCCCCTTAATTTCATGTTCTTTATGGGCTCTCTCACAAAGAATACTCTTAGCTCCCACCTTTTTGTGCTAAAGGTTTTAAATCATGACCTTCATGGGGACTTGGTTAATGGTCGCCACAGTGGAATCCTCGTGTATCACTATCACAGCTCCCAGATATGGCGCAGACACCCGTGAGGACAAGGTTGATAACTGGGGGGTATCAAGCTTTTTCTCTCTGTGTTTGTTACGTTTCGGGGACGTGACTTGACAGGTGGTATATCCATATCCCTGTAATAATGAGCTATGTATAATGAGGCACCTATTGTTTCTCTTTCCATTCCTCTTTGCTCTTAATGAGCCTCTAAAGCTTTCGCTGGGGCTGTAATCCAATCAGAGAGGACCAGCATTTTCCAGGGCTGACATACCTCATTTCCATTTGAGAATATGTCTGATGTTTGTTGGCAGTAAACCTCTGTTTCATCCAGCCGTCAGTTTTTTGCTCCCTTAATCCATTAATGATCTTTGACTAGTTAGTCTTATTTAAAAATGGTTTAAAATGTTATCTGGCCTTTAAACTACGTATTTATTTTGATTTACTTTTTTTTGAAATGAAAGGTCTTTGAGTAACACAGTTTCCAGTTGGCTAACTATATTTTTATTCAGGATTTCTATGTCTGCAAGAGTATCTTGGCATACTAATGCACAGTTCCTGAAAGGAGGCTTTCCCTACTTGGTGCTTCCGAGAAGCATCTGTTTTGAAATATATATGAAGTGGTCACAATTCCAGAAGCTTCTGGATATATCGCCAAAAGCAAAAGCTGAATCTTGAGCTCTCTGGTTTCAAGCACCAAACCTGATGGTAAAAACTGTGAAAAGGATTCTGACCAAGCTTCTGGAAGCACTCTTGAGACCTTGTGTTTCAAGGTTTCTTCACATGGGAATGGCATGCTTGTCAAAGAAGTCCTATAGCATTAGCATTCCCACCCCCGGCCCTCCCCTGCGCCCCAACTGTGTGTAACGTTGGCTGTGCCTGTTGTGTTTCAGGAATTCTCAAGTTTCATGAGCACTATCTGGGTGATAACACGGTGGAAAACTCCAGTGACTTCCAGGTCGGCAGCAGTGCAATCCTTCCTGCAGCAACCAGCTCAGCCCTGGAGCAGCACATCGCCAGTGTCCGGGAGGCCCTGGGGGTGGAGTCTTACTACTCCAGGTAGTAAACGTTCCCAAGTCTATCTTTAGATACTATCTAGGAGGGTTTTTTTTTTTTTCTTTAATGAATATTCTATTTGAGCTAATAGGAGAAATATTTTGATATACACACTTTTGTGCTCAGTGTATCCACAGTTCCTGCAGCCAAAACAGATTCGTATCTCTGGGGTGCAAGCCCCGTAGTGGACTGTCTTTATGATTTCTGGTAATTTCCCTTCAGACAGGAAAGGGCCTCATCAAAGATGCCCATTCTTTAAGGAGGTTCATAGACTTAAACATAAGCATGATTTTGAATTTAATATACCAATTAATTAAGACTGAGATTAGTTTTTGGTTGTAAACAGATTCATACTAAGGTTGAACACATGTTTGAGAGACTAATTTAGTACTAGTGACTGGATATAGGCACAGATCTGTGCATTGGGGGGTTGAGATGAAGGAAGTTGAGGTCTCAAATATCAAGAATAGAGAAGGGAACTGCTTTTTGCAAAAGTTATAAGCTTATGAAAACAGTCTACATTTTATCATGTATGGTTGACTATTTTACATATAGGAGATAATTTCCGAAAATGTCCTTCTTCTGGGGAAAATTGAGAGAAGAGGGTACCTTGGAGCATAAGCAGATTTCCCAGGCATCTCAGTCCTCCACCCAGTGGTTAATAAGTGTCGAGAATATCTGTTTGTCAGAGAATCTGTTGTGTTAGCTGATGTCAAGTCCTAAGAACATCTGCTTATCTCCTGAATGGTATCGTTTGTAATCAGGAAAATCCTGAGGTGTTGCTATGATTTCTTAAGAGATGCTGAACCCAGACTTCTGAGTGTGTGGTGGTCCCTGCCAGCAGCTGGCCTGATCTTGGGAGTACTTATGAAGTTGGGGAGGGGTTCTTAGGTGAAAAATAATCACTGGATCATGTAATGCCAAGATTGAAAGAGGCTGCAGTGGTTATCTGGTCCCACCTTTCATTTAACAGAAGCCAACACTGACATGGGACTTGCTGACAGCCACATTAGTGGCAGAGCCAGGATCAAAAACATCTCACCCAGACTCCCAGGCCAGCGCTCATTCTGTTTTTAATTATCAAAGTTAATATCATATTTTGAGAAAATAGCCAACTCGTATAAGAATGTCATCCCTAGCTTCTGTTTTTATGAAGTATGAACAGGAATCAGCAACATGCACACATTCTTGCCTTATTTCTCTGATAACTGCTGTGCATCCTGGAGCATCCCCATCCTTAACTCTGGGTGGTGGTATGGCAGTTACAGGAGCTTGACGATGTGTCAACCCAGGCACTTGTAAGTAAGTCTTCCCTCTGCGATTTAAAAGGTAGATGACTATAAAATAGATTAGACAGGGGCATGCAAAGCTGCTTCAAGAGACAGAAAGGCCCTCAGACCAGTGTGATTAGACTGTAACCTTAGCGAAAGTATTGAATATGCAAAGGAGGACTTAGAGGGGAATGGTTGGCCAGCAATAGAAGCACAAAAAGACAAGGCAGACTTGGTAGTACCCATTTTTGACACTGTCAAAGGAAGAGAGAATCTTGGCAAAGCATCTTGAAGTTCCACTGGTAAGGCTGTTCCTTCAGTGGACATGAGGTCATCATGTTCTCTTATCCTCCTACCTTCCCTCCCTCCCACTAGTATTTGAGTGTCTACTGTGTACAAGGCACTCTGCTAGAGATTGGGGTTGAAGTGATGAACAAGACTAACATACTCCGTGCTCTTATGGACCTGACAGATAGTCAACAGAGTCTACACAGTCTTTTAATGAAAACTGTAATAAGTGCTTAAAATTTCTGGGTGTAACGAGAATGTGTAAGCGGAGTGGGGAGCAGGGGGACCTATAATGAGAGTTAAGAAGGCTTCCCTGAGGAGGGAATATTTGAGCTGAGCTCTGAAGCATGATGAGAAATAAACTAAATGAAGGGCACCCTAGGCAGTATTCACATAACCTTAAGCAACCCTGGGTGGACAACCTCTTAGATTGTCTTCCTGCCTTCTGTTGTTCAGGTCCCATGCTTCTTGGTCAACCTTTCTGGTTATCATTTGGTTTCACATGTTAATCTACTTGCAGGTAGAAAATGTGTGTAATAAACTGGCATTCCAGTTTGTGCAACTCGGTGTAAACTTAGACAAGGAAAGTTAGCTCTAGAGAGACAAAGCCTCTTTGGGCATGCTGAAGACATCAGGTTTTTAAGTGTAAAAGGCCACAGTCCAGAGCTGGAACTGAGATAAAATCATAAAGGTAACCAGCGTGAGGCACCTGCCACTTGAAACCTTTGTACCTGCAAAGGTGGTTTCTCTGTGCACCATCTTCCTTACACCAACACCCAAGTCATCTCAGTCCAAACCAACCATCGACAGGGCTCAGCCTGTATCCTCAAATGATATGGATTTCATTTGATCCCAGTTTTCATATGTCTAGATTAAAATTCACCATAAAGAGAAAGGAGATCACCCTTTGACTCACTCTTCCCTGCCCACCTCTTCACTGGGCACAATGATTTAACTCCAAACACTTGCATCTAAGCAGTTCTTTTATGTGCTACTAGAAGTTGAGTAATTCTGCTCCCAGGTGCCTTTTGAATTGAAAAACGGTGCCTGGGTTATAGTTCAGCTCTTCATCAGTGGAGAGAGAGAAGGACTGCCACTTGCTTGTGTCCCCAGGTTAATCTTTCCCCTCTGTCCTGGATGAGACCTTGGGGATCTCTGGGGCGCTGTGCGGTCAGACACTCAGCATCACGTGCTTGGGCTGCCTTCCGTAGCTTCGATTCCCAGCTCAGACTGCCAGTAATAAGGTTATTCCTGTTGCTTTGGATAAGACTTGTTAGAAATGTGTTTTTTTTGTGAGCTTAAGCTCAGGTTCTTGATTATGACACTAAAATCAAACACTTTAGTGGCATGCTTTGAATTTACTGGAATGGAATTTTTGTGAGACTCTGGTTTCTCACCTAACAGTTTCATGAAAACACTGAGAAATTTTTAATGGCAGATATTATTTTTCATCCATAAAACTAGCAAATGTTTTTAATGCCATAAAATTCAGTGATGGTAAGGATACAGTGAATGAGCAGTATCACATACCAAGAATATAAATTGATTTAAAACCAAAAAACCAAACCCATTGTCATTGAGTCAATTCTGACTCATAGTGACCTATAGCGACCCAATAGGACAGAGTAGAACTGCTCCATAGGGTTTCCAGTGCTGTAATCTTTATGGAGGAAGACTGCCACATCTTTCTCCTGTGGAGCAGCTGGTGGGTTTGAACCACTGACCTTTTGGTTAGCAGCTGAGTGCCGCCAGAGCACCTTATAAATTGGTTTAGATTTTCTAAAAATAATTTTGCCAGTAGTATCAAAAATCTTTAAAATGTTCATGCCCTTTACCCAATAATTCTCATTTTAGAAAGTAGAATAAAGATTTATACATAGAGATATTTATCATAGGTCTATTTAGTGTAGAAAAAAATGGAAAACAACCTAAATATCCAATGCTAATTGAATAGCAAACAAATTATTTTATATCTACCCAGTATACTATTAGGTTGCAATTAAAATTATGTCTACATTCAACATTGTGAAAATGTCAATTCTACTCAAAGCAATCTACAAATACAATGCAATCCCAATCCAAACACCAACAGCATTCTTTAACAAAATGGAAAAACTAATCATTAACCTGATATGGAAAGGAAAGAGGCTCCAGATAAGTAAAGTACTATTGAAGAAGAAAAATAAAGTAGGAGGACTTGCACTACCTGACCTCAGAACCTACTACACGGCTATGGTAGTCAAAACAGCCTGGTACTGGTATAATGACAGACATATTGACCAGTGGAACACAATTGAGAACTTAGACATAAATCCATCCACCTATAGTCACCTGATTTTTGACAAAGACCCAAAGTCCATTAAATGGGGAAAAGAGTCTTTTTAACAAATGGTGCTGGCAAAACTGGATGTCCATCTGTAAAAAAATGAAACAGGAGCCATACCTACCACCGTACACAAAAACTAATTCAAAATGGATCAAAGACCTAAATATAAAACCAAAAACTATAAAAATCATAGAAGAAAAAATAGGGTCAATGCTCGAGGCCCTAATATACAGCATAAATAGGACACAAACCATGGCTGGCAATACACAAACACCAGAAGATAAGCTAGATAACTAGGATCCTCTAAAAATTAAACACTTATGCTCATCAAGAGTAAAAAGAGAGCCTACAGACTGGGGAAAAAAATTGACTATAAATCTGACAAAGGTCTAATCACTAAAATCTATAGGAAAATACAACACCTCTACAACAAAAAGACAATCCAATTAAAAAATGGGCAAAGGATATGAACAGACACTTCACCACCGAAGACATTCAGGCAGCTAACAGACACATGAGGAAATGCTTGTGATCACTAGCCTTTAGGGAAATGCAAATCAAAACCACAATGAGATACCATCTTACCCCAACATTACTGGCTCGAATCAAAAAAACAGAAAATAACAAATGTTGGAGAGGCTGCGAGTAGATTAGAACAGTTATGCACTGATGGTGGGAATATAAAATGGTACAACCATTTTGGAAGACAATATGGAGGTTTCTTAAAAGCTAGAAGTAGAATAGAAATACCATACGACCCAGCAATCCCACTCCTAGGAATATATCCTAGAGAAATAAGAGCCATCACATGAATAGACATATGCACACCCATGTTCATTGCAGCATTGTTCACAATAGTAAAAGGATGGAAACAACCTAAGTGTCCATCAATGGATGAATGGATAAGCAAACTATGGTACATACACACAATGGAATACTACGTAACAATAAAGAACAATGATGTATCTGGGAAACATCTCACAACATGGATGAATCTGGAGGACATTATGCTGAGTGAAATAAGTTAATCACAAAAGGACAAATACTGTATGAGACCACTATTATAAAAACTGATGAAAAGGTTTACACACAGAAACAATCTTTGATGGCTACTAGGG